CAGTTGAATGAAACCTGCCTTGATTTACTGTAATTTTCCTAACAATGCGACTTCATTTTTGTCTGTTAATTTATGTCACCAATGTTCGTATTTTAAAATCTTTCGAGTAAGTTTCTATTGACAGAGCTCCTAAAGGGTCTTGACAAGACTCTGTCCAAGTGCCCACAAAAAATTACTGAGAAACCATTTCACTAAAGGAAATCTTTCAATTTGCTGCTGCTGTAATGAATGTTAACTGTTTATTTTATAGATCACAGACTCGTATAATTTAGTATTAACTGATGTAAAACTGGCGGATGAAGGTGAATACAGGTGTATGGTGTTGAATCTAGATCCACAATCCAAATCAGCGAACTTGGGTGTGTGGGGTAAGTCAATAAATACGGATGTTATATTGTTAGTTCTACTAATCTTCTCCATTGACTTCATTTCAAGTACATTATATAATGAATGTTAGAGAAATAGTAAAAACGAGTTTCATAATTTCAGTGTGTCATTACAACTGATGTTTGAACAATATTGAGGTAACTATATGTTTCATTCTATCGAATAATTTCACGCAATATCATCGAACATTTGAGTTCCAGACGATAATTTTGAAATGACGTATAATAATGTACACTATCTAATACACAATGCTATGTACAACATAAAATTACTTCCTCTGACCATATATTTCTAATAGTCCCTGCGAAAGAAGTGTTGATAAGTGGTGAGCAAGGCGACTGTAAAACAGAATTTCCTGCACCTGGTCAAATCATGTCATTTAGTTGGATGTGCACTGTCGTTAACGTAGTACCCTCGGCTACTTTAACCTGGAATTATATAATCACATCAGCTACGAGGTCACCGATACAGGGGGATATACCATATGACGATATACACATTCCGGATACTTACTCGGATGTACAATTGGGGGCTGTGACAACAACGCAAGAAAATGGAGGTTATTACACCACGAATAGTCTTATCACATTTGTGTATACAAGTGGGCAAGAGAATATGACATTGGCTATACAATGTAAATCAACACAAGATGGTCTAGTTGACACATTCGAGACGACCACTCAACCAATCAAAGTTTGTTTTTTTGGTCGTAAGTGAATTATTTTTTACAATTATATAAAACAGCTTATACGAATACAACAATTGAACCAGCAAAAGTTAAGGTACGATTTTTCACATTATATACGAACATGGTTGTGGTATTTTTGTATGTTTCAGGGCGTCACATTAGAAAGTGGTCTTGGTTAATCTAGATTGATGGATGGGTGTAAGGTGACTGAAAAATCGCTGAACCAATTGACGTAATTTGTGTTGTGTATAGATAACAATGCATAACGAACTTCTTCTATAACACTATTTGGTATACAGTGCACATGAATCCGGTTGACTGTTATCAATTTTGTTAATTTGGTGACACAATTCTTCAATTTTCTACTTCAGTGATTATTTTTTTTTACTTTTTATGTTGATATCTTGAGTAAACCTCTGTCAGATTTGTTTATTTCCTGGCGATATCTTCAATTCTTTATTTTTAGAAAATATTTTGTATTTTTTTAGTAAAAATGCTTTTGTTCTAGTTTTTTTTGAAACTACTAACTCAATTACTTTGATACTTAGTATGTATGTTCCATGAGTTGATTTTTGTTGGATTTATTCACTTTGCTAATATCTTTTACTTTCTATTTTAGAGACCGTTTTTGGAATTTTTAGTAAAAATGCTATTTTCGAATTCTTGGGAAATATCAGCTACATTACTTTGATAATTGGTATGATTTACAAAGTGATGACAATTGCAATTACCAAAGCAAAAACCATTCAAACTAACATAAAGAACGATGTCAAATTTGGAAGGAGACACTCAACAACAATGAAGCTATTTAGACCATGAGGTATATTGTTTAAGATAAAACAATAGTGTAGAAGTACTGTGCGAATTATTTTTTTTATTTTACATAGTTTTGAGAAAAATCTGTAAATCTATTAGTTGAATTATTGTGGTCGGTTTAGACATCAAGTCTTTTATTTATTTGTTCTTCCCTCTGGAAAATGCAATAGTTTGAATATGACACGATGTATATTGTACAATGCAACAATTGCAGTCATTGCAGTTTAGTTCATCATCAGTTTTGGTGTCTGCATTTGATTACTGTCTAGTTGTGTCTGTTCCACCAATATATCTCGAAAAAATACGAGATTTCAATGATACTTGTAAAAATGCGCTGATCTGTTAA